CCTTGAAGTTATAGTGTACAAGCACGTGGGATTCCAGTGGAATTTGAGATGCTGTAGTTCAGAAACTCCTGATTTTTATATCAGAACCACAAGAGGTCCAAAAATGAGTAGAATTTAGATTACTTATGAACCCATTAGTTCAAAATTTAATTAATTTTCAGGTCAAGAGCGAGTTCCGCAGTTACTCATGAAATTTACTCATTAGTTCAATAACTCTTTCATTTTCGGTTATTTCAGACGCAACCAATCAAAAAATCATAAAGCTAACAGAAAAAGTTGAATCGCTCGAATATGAAATTCAATAACTTAAAAATAAAAATGTTCCCGACACTGTGGCAAAGGACGAATATTCCTCCTATAGACTTGGCGTTTAAATTGACAAAAAATAATGAAGACCTGAGTGGAAGTATCAGCAACATTTTGATCCAAGAACTGAAAACCCAGTCTGAAGGGTTGAAAAACAGGCTTGATAATGTTGTGGAAGCTATTAAAAGCTCCACTAAGGATTTGGTGAGATTTCTCATACAAAGCATCCCTACTCTAAACGACCCTACAAACTAAAATAAAAGGAAATTACAAAACAATAACACAACTGACATCATGAAAGGCACACTCCCCAAAAGAAGCCTTCCGACTAACAAGAACCCTATAACTAGTGCAACGCTGAAAGTTCAGCTATTAAACATAATGCTATAGTAGGATCGAATAAACCAAAAAACCAAAGCCAAAAGCTTTAAGCATGGGAGCAATTAATAGAAACGATATCCGAGGTACAAATAAAAATAGAAGATCGTAAATGGTTATATGTGGGTGGTCTTGACATTGCTGTTTCTGGAAATACCCTGACTGACTATTTAAAAAACAACTCAATCAAACTCGTGAAAAACTGGACTCCAAATATCGAACTCATTCTGCTTTTAAAATCTCTATCAAACCGGACGATGAAATTAAGATGTTTAACCCTGACCTTTGGCCTCAGAATGTAATTGTCATGCCTTTTATATCTAGTCAACCAAATCCGAGATATCCTACAACAAACACCAGCAGACAAAGACAAAACTAGAGGCTAGTAAAACTAGGCTAATTTTAAGGTGAACTTCAAACAAATTCGCTACAAGCTAATTTTTGCGTCATTATGTTTCTTTTGGGGTTTTATATAACTGGCTAAAAATCCCCAAAAATCCGATAGGGGGCGCAACCCCAAAACCATCCCCAAAGGTACATTTTTTAGGTTTTTTGCAATTTTCGCAAAATCAACAAGATTTTCGAAAAATTTGCAAGAAACCTTTTTTGTAGAGCACAAAATTTTTTGGTATACTATACTTTATTATTCAAATAAGCTTAAGATATAAAAAAGTAAGATTTAAATTTGTATTGGTCTTATTTAGTGAATGTACTTAACTTAACTGGTGTTTAGAATTCGGAATATTTATTGTTATAAATTCTATGTAAAATCTTATTTATACCTTATTATTATTTTTTGTACAACCGTCTGCGATTTCAATTTCGCGGCCGCCACACCTGTAGTGCAAAATGTGTCAAATCTTTGTCAAATCCATACAGTTTTTCTGAAACTTTTGACCGCAAATCTTTTTGGCGTCCTCGAGATTATCTTGCCTCGGCCGCAAGCGGCCTCGGCGATAATTTTTGTCTACGTACGCTAAAAAGTATGGTATACAAATAGCTATTCAAAATTTATATAATTTTTTAACAGCATACCTGTCTAAGCTAGTACATACATATTAAAATAATTTAAAAATTCGAAAAAATATTAAATACAAAGAAAAAATATATAAATGCACCTAAAGCCAAAACCACAAATTAAAACGTTATTGTACAAAAAATCCTAATAAAATTCAGAAAGTTGCTGGTATTTGAAAGGGCAGGAGAGAGGAAAAACAAACAGTTCAGTTGCGCGAAACTCTAAATGCACTGGAACGCCTATAAACAGCCCGAAGCGCTCTAGAGCGGCTTAGGAGTGCATAAAGTCTGTTTTTTTTTTTAAGATAATTCCCAAAAATCTAGTAACTTTGTTGGCAAAACAAGCCTTCTCTAGATAAAAAATTTGAAAACATTGATAATTTTTCATTGTATTGTCGAATGTAATACCACAAGAGGTTTCAGGATTATCTGATAATACTTCTACCTGCCACGAAACGCGTTATGCAGCAACACCACGACTCCGAAGGAGGAGTGGTGTTGCTGGTAACGCGTTGAGTGTCAGGTGAAAGTATTAGGTAATCCTGAAACATCGAGTGGTATTCAAAAGGTTATACAACGAACTAAACTTTAATACTTTAAAATTTTAAAAAATTTCTATTAGAGAATTTGCCATAAATGCCACCAAGCGCGATAATCCTGAAAGGCTTATCACTTATTAAGCCTCTCGTGTCATATGGGAATAATGTACAGTGAGTTGTATAACCAACATAATGTCATTTTGACTTTTATCTTTAAAAAAAATAGACTTTAGTCGCTTTCCAGTGACGCACTCCTGAGCTCCTCTAGAGCGCCCGGGCTGTTTATGGGCATTCCAGTGAATTAGAGTTTCGCGTAGCTGAACTGTTTTTTTTTTTCCTCTTTCCTGCCCTCTCAAGCACCCGCAATTTTATCGATACATCAAAAATACGACACTTAAAGTAGGATGCGTTCCAGTGAAAAAACCACCAGAGTGTGAAGCTACTGGTGTGGAGCATCATCTCTGGGAGCATCTTAGAATTCGTCACTGGAAAGCGACTCTGATCGCGTTGCTTCCCTCCCTCGCGACGGTAATATTGATTTTAACATGTTGGTCCGCTATTATTTGAGATGTATAAACAATTCATTATATCCTATTCACAATCTGTAGTCCAAAGGTACAGGTAAATTTATCACCTTTCCCTATCAAATAGCATTGAAAGGTGATAAATTTTACCTGTACCTTTGGACATTGGATTGTAAATAGATAATACATAGTTTATTATACGCATATTTTCTCAAAGTTGACGAAATAACAAATGATTCATAACAAAAACGAAACATTTTATTGGTATTTGTCACTAAAATAAATAACTATTAAGTTCTAAGGCCTGTATCAATACTAAAACTTCTTTAAATAATACAAATGGGTATACCATTGGATTCAAAATTTTGTACTCTACAAAAAACGCGCCCTGAACTTTTTTGTTTAAACTTACCGTTTTTGAGAAAATTCCAACAAACCTAAAAAATGTACCTTTGGGGGTGGTTTTGGGGTTGCGCCCCCTATCGGATTTTTTTGGGATTTTTAACCCATTATAAAAAAACCAATCAAAGATTGCTATGGTTTTTCAAACGTATGTCTTAGCAATATTTTTCTTTAATTTTGACAATGTCAGTCAATGAAATTTAACTTCAAAATGTCATGTCAAAAATCCTGACCAATAAAGAAACAATAATGCGACGTACGTTTTCGTAACCAAAGCAATCTTTGATTGGTTTTTTTTTTTTGAAGACCCGATATAAAACACTAAAAGGAACACAATAGCGCAAAATTCAGCTTGTAGCAAATATGTTTAGGGTTGCCCACCTAGTTTTACTAGCCTACTACTTGAGAAATTACCAAAATTTTCCTCAAGGCAGCAGGTTACACCATACCTTATGCAAGGGAATAATAACCACAGCTTGTTTGAGGCGCACAGGGAGTTCGCCCAAAGTAAACGAACTATCTATAGCTCTCGCAACAGCTCCCAAGGTATCATCGGAAAAATAAGACACAACCTTCAAAGAAAGATTATCTCAACCCGATATATTCTTATTTTCAATCTCGCAAATAATTTTAATGTTGGGGAGAAAAAAAAAAAAGTTTGAGCCACCACAATGGGTTCCAGATAGACCCTGGGATCAAGCGGTTGATGAATACTAGCAGATAGATTGAATGCAATATTATAGTAAAACTGGTCACGATCATTAGCTTTTAACTTGCTTAAAGCCACTTTTTTATTATTATTTTTCCCCAATAAGTCACTAACAATCCTCACGATTCTATGTTTTCCTTTTTTTGCAATTAAGATTTGGGAAGGATGTATTAAAATTATTATGAACAATAGCGTGAAGTGCCTCCAATGAATCGTCTGTTGCAAGAACAGAATTCCAGTCAGTTTGTGACAACAGTTTTTATTTTACAAAGTCCCCTCTTTTATACAGTCTACCACGTCTTTTTTTATATTCAGTGTGTACATTAAAGAGGAAGCAACAGCTGTAGGTTATTAATGTCAATACAACAAATGCGATGCATAGAAATATTTTACAACAAAACCCTAGAATTAGTATTAGATCTTAAAAAGAAATAAAAATATCAAATGGTTAATTGGAAGTATAAACTTAATATGATTGCAAATGCACTTGGGTAACTATTAATAACTAAAGATTAGGATTATTACCTCAATAGGTTAAATTATTAAATTAAAAAGCACACCCATGGTAATTTAAACTGTGTACTAAATTTTTGCAATAGAGATTTATGTTCTATATTTAGTTTAATTTTGGGCAAATGAATTACCTTTATTTTGCTTTTTATATGGGGTATTTAGGTATCATATATGCATTCTATTTTCATTATTAGAATAATGTATTTTCTATTTTCTATTGCTAAATAATTATTGGCAAATGACCAATTTAATTTTCTTGTCCAATGAAGCCTGTTTTAATTAGAAACCGAACCCATCATTATCGACTTGCTTATTATTGAAAACATTCTAAATGACTTGTGATAAAACAATGGAAAAGTACCCGGAAAAAAAAACTTTGATACTCATGACAGTATAATGAGATAAATTTCCCAAATTAGAACTCGTCAATTGGTTTAAAATTGAATTATTTTCAGATATTATTGCATTGGTTGGAAACAACCACATTTTTCAAAGAATCATTGTCTGAATAATTAAAAATTGATTAGGGTTTAAAATATGTATTTAAATTATAATTTGATGTTTCTATACTCATCATCATAATTTTTTCTCCATTATTATTATGTAACATACCCTGTCCCTGAAACGTAACCCACTGTTTCAGCAAGTGCTGCTGACAATCGACGCAGGCCTGAACTCGTCCCAAAGAGTCAATGGGTCGGCTCCGACCCGGTCTCGGGTGCTCTATCAAGCTAGGAAAAAATGGCTGCAAAGGCGCCTCCGTGGACTGTTTGGAGGCGATAAAGTCGAGACTTCCGCGTTTGAACTCATCTCCACAAACATAACAAACCTATTTGAAACAATGCAAAATTATATTGAAATTATTATAGTTAGAAGGTTTTTGATTTTTACCTCAGTAACAGAATTTTTATCCGGCATACTGAGGTCCAATATGTCGGTGCCCGTAGAAGAGTTCGAATTTTGGCTGTAGAGTATCGGCGGTACCGACACCGATTGCGCCGGTACTGCCACGTGGTGCTGTTGCGTTTGCCCTGCATGAGTCAAATCTAGGGCTCCTTCCGGTACCATGTCGTCGCGGTCCAGTCCGCTGGATGCAACCTGGAACAATTTTAAAAAAATTTATCAAAAAATCGAGAAGTAAAGTCCTTTCTAAACAGATCATGATCGTAGAATGCAAAAAGACAGGACGAAATTAAAATACAAAAGTGGTGAACACCTGGTGTACAGGTGTACAGGGTGTCTGGTTATAAACTTACACCCCACCTGCAGCCTTCACCTTTACAGGTAGATGTAAGGTATAATACAAAAGATACAGTTTTATTGTATTTGGAAGCTTTGTTATCAAGATTTGTATCTTTAAACAATAAAGCATATTTTGATTTAATTTGATTTGATTTATATTTGATTCTATATTCTTGAAGAGCACAATTTTCCGATTCCAAAAATACATAGTTTGTCTATATTTGGTTGAGCTGTCTCCAATATATTTAGCTCTAAAAATTATAAAAATAATATACCCGTGTTTCTCAAAATGTCTATTTGTAGCTCTGTTCCAATTCACATGAGAACCGTTCCAGAACCAGTAATTTCCAGTTGCCCATCTATTTTTCAATGAGTTTGAACGTTTATCCTAATTATTGACAAATTAATTATTGATCGACTGAAAAATACCGTTCTAGAACGGTTTTCATTTCGGTTGGACTCTAGAGCTTATGTATTTGGGTTTTGAGTTTATGTGGGTATTTGAAAAACGACAGAGACAGTTTTTGCCTCGCAGCTCCCTTAATTTTCATCCGATTTCAACGCAATTAGGCTCCAATTAAAGCCAATCAAATTCTCTACAAACCTGTCAATTTTTTTTTGTGTACTTGCGAAAAAGTTAAAATTGACGTGTCCGAAAGGAAAGTCATGAAAGTGTTAATTTGGTTATAACAGAGCCAGAAGATTGTTTCTTATTTAGCCTATGATAACTTTACTTACTTTGACAGTAAATATCTCGAGAACTAATCATGCGATTTCTGAAAAAAGTACACAATTATGACGAAAATGAAAATACCTTTAAAACAAGGTACCACTCGACCCATCTTCCCTATCTAAAAAAGAGGTGTGAAAGTCACCCAACCCAGGGAGTGCACTCTAGCGAAATACCGATGGGGTCAAAAAGTTTCCCCCTCAAATACAAAATTGACGTGCCCGAGCATTTTTTTTTAATCGACCTTAAAATACCCCAAAACGCCCCTATTTCGATGTTCGTGAAACACCCTGTATATACAGTCTATCTATTTCTTCTTTCTTCTAAATGAAAATTACGAGGTTTTGAGAATTTAAAAAAATGTTTTCCACTTTCAATGTCATTTGGCAAGTTTTAGATGCACGATACACTGCACTTTCCTATGTTGTTACGGGATGATTTTTCCCGCACCAAAATAAAAGGAAATAAGCTTATTCACCTCTCTGAATAACATACCTTCCTCAACCCACTGTTTTCTATCCAATAGTTGTAGCCACACTTTTCAACAAACTTTTCATTCTTCCCAGAATCATTAAGTTAGAGGTTTATTAATGGAATTGATTTCCTGTTAGTAGGGTTAAAATAAATAGACAATTAATTTATTAACAAACAAAATCACAATATTTACACTAGAACAGCTGATTGTCTGATCCGAGTAGATTGTCTAGATTGACAGCGCTCCAAATAGAGTCAATGACCGGTACTAACTTAATTTGAATAAGTCCCATGCCCCAACTATCATCAAAATTCCCCAGTACCTTCCACCTTGGAGTTTTTGACAGAACCTTTTCAAAGGACATTGCAGGGACAAGCAGAGGTCATTCAGGTCGAGGACTTTTCACGATTAAGTGTTCGGGAAAATTCATCAGGCACATTTTGCCGATTTTCTGAGTTGTCTAGTTTTCGCTCATAGATCTAGGGTGGCTAATCCGTTATTTTAGCACCCAATCGCCTTGTGCGGATTTTTTTTGTGAGTCGAAAAAGAGCAACGTGACCAATTGTTTGTTCCTAAAGGCCAAAGTAATTTTGGTAAGTGGGTTTTCTTATTATTCTTCTCTGTGTTTCTCTATTTCCTATGTAAAAGCATAGTTTTCTGTTAATTATATGGTTAAATTCCGAATATTGGACATACCTACCTATTGCTCCAAGCCCTGTCACCGGGTCCATTTGTTTCAGGCCTTTACCTTTAGATGTCACCTTTTATTCGTCACGCTTAGTCCTTAACTTGAGTAAAGAGTTAAACGTTGAGCTTACTGTGTGTTTCAAGTAGTACCTCACCTCCAATCTTCAGCCTCCTCTAGACCATTGGAAGCTTTAGTGACTCCTAGTTACTGAACTTCAGTGCCCAGGGCCAGTGGCTTCTTGTTGCGGTCTTGATCCAGTCCCAGGCCATCGGAAATACTGGAAGATATTAATTCCATCCGTCAGGTTTTCCCAAGAGATTAGGGACTACTCAGGTTTGATAAGTGTGTTGTATTGTCTTAATATCAAACCTTACCAACCCCTTGTTGGAGTAAATCACCACAACAACGCAGTTCTACTACAATATTAAATTACCCTTCAGATTAGATGTTGTGATTTCAGTTTCAATTAATTATTACCTTTATTATATGAAATTTACCATTCAGGTTATGTACTATTAGGTACTTCAATTTTAAGTATTTATCTATACCTTCTATATTATTCCATAATATTAAATTTGCCCCTCAGGCTATTTATTGTTACTTCAACTTTAATTATTGATCTATATTTCTCTTATAACTATCTCATAAATACATGCTGCACTGAATACAGGAAATACTTGTACACTGGGGTTAAATGGCCATTTACGAAGGTACTGCATTAAGTGAGCTTATTTTTTAATTTATATTTCAGGTATTATCGCTGGTAATTGTTATACTTTTTATTTCTTTATTTAGGGACTCAAGTTGAGTGTAATTAATAATTATTGCAAATACTATTTTTAAAACATATGGTTAGTTACTCCGAGACGATTTCTTTTCTTGTTTTGGTTCCAGTGTGAATAATTTTAAGTGTTCTAGGGCCTTCGAAAAACTCACTCCGAACCTGCACTAGAGTCAACCTGTTCTGGTTTCACGTTTCTTGTTCTAATTAAAACCCGTTCCTGATTGTAGCAAAGCGTTTAACTTTTGTCCTTCCTTCTTGTTTACGTTTATATTTCAGGTTGTGCTGCTATAGTTCCGTAGAAGTTTCCTGCTTTCGTTATATCGGTTGATTTCGTGTACTACAGGGAAAAAGCAGGTGGCGCTCTATATTTAGTTAATTAATTAACCCACACCCCTCTGCGCTTTGGAAGCTAGTCGGCAACCCTTTACACGAAATCACATTTCTAGATTTCAGCCACCAACCAACCCTCTCTTTCTATATTTTTTTCTGTTTTAGTTACCCATTCACTGTCCCACTCCCTCAAAGTTCATTATTTACTTCTCCCTCGCGTTTTGCGGGTAACAAAGTGGCAGTGTCCCGTGCCCGTCTTGTCACGTAATAATGTTTGTTCGGGAGTTGACCACATAGATATTTTCTTGTGGCCTTGTAGAGTGACCATGAATTTCAGAATTTTTCAATAGTTTTATATTGTTTTTAATTTGGTGATCTGTAGTTGATTTTCTGCATAAGTTTTTACTTCTCTAGCTTTATTATATTCTCGATCTTAATATATTTAGTATTTTCATAAAGTTCCTTTGTTGGATAAAGTCTTGGTAGTTTATATAGATATTTAATAAATCGGTTTTGTAATCTCTGGATTTTTTCTATTGTTGTCTTCATTGCTGCTGCCCATATTGCACACATGTAAATTGTGATTTAAAAAATGATTCGTATATGGATGATTTAATGCTGTTGGGCAAATTATTTACACATTGTTTAATGGCACCACAGGCACAGGAAAGTCTATTTTGGATATTTTGAATATGTTCTTTAAAATTTAAGTCTTTGTCAACAATTATACCCAAGTAATTGTAACAGTTCACTTTACTTAGGGCCCTTGCGTTTATTTTAACATTGATATCAATTAGCAATACAACAGGGGACCCAAGACTGATTCCTGTGGCACTCCGCAGGACTGGTGCTTGGAAACAATTTATGAACTAGATAACTATAGGGGGTTAAAAATTGACAGAAACTATAAGAAATAGGACAAAATTTGAATAAACAGTACAATAGTGCTCTGAACAGAAAATAAAATATACACAAGAACCAGGACAGAATGTCATGCCCACGATAATTCTAGGCAGCAGAGCCTGGTTAAATTTATTAGGGTATAAATACCAAGTCCAGAAATTCATTAACCCTATAGAAAGCTTGGGTAAGTAGGATAATTTTTAACTGTTTTCGAAATAAAGTGATATATCCTTTAAAGTTGCTGGAAGGTGATTATAAAGTTTTACATTATTGTAAATTATAAGAGTTGGGTATAAGAGATTTATGTGGAATATGAAGTGGTGGATGATGACTTTGCCTCGTCAGATTGGTAGTTTAGCGTGCAGAAAAACAAGAGATATTCTCATGAATGAGGCTGACTGACTCGAGAATAAAAAGGCATGGAAGAGTTATGATTTTATACTCACTGAAGAGTGCAACATCCCCAAAATGCGGCAGGCAATAAGTTATGTGTGATTGTATCACAGCCATAATCCACTAATTTTGCTATGGTGGACAATAAGGTAGATGAAACTGATCGTATGCAGTAGCAGCCTGAAGATAGTTTTTTGTTGAAAGTTGAAAGCTATTATGTGATCGAAATTTAAGATCAACATCCAAGTTAAGTCCAAGAGACCACGTTACGGTTAAGATTGCAACCCTATGACATTCTTGTTGGATGCACACCAGGAAAAGGAGCTTTTACTGGCAGATGCGTTATCTTGAGCTTTTAATAGAAAATTGCCAGGTATGACTGAACTTGATCAGGATGTATCAATATCTCTAACGAAAAAATTGAACTTTTTGAACGGGAAATAGCTAATGATAGTGATCTTTTAGTTTTAAGTAATCACATAAGAGCTGGATGGCCTAATATGGAAAAAATGCCTAATCCGTTAAGGTTTTTTCATTCTTTCAAAGACGACCC